TACAATTCTATGTAATAATAATTTCTAAAAATTGAAGGAATCACCATTAGACTTTTTTTTTAAAATTGATAAATTGCTTTTCTAATAATATTCAGACTTTTTTTTTAACTGGTAAATTGCATCCAACCAGAGGTTGAATTAACCAATAAAAAAGAGGGGTGTAAATTGCAATAATGGAGGGTTGTTGAATCATTGCTGAAACAGAGTTTATGTAGCTTGGTAATTAGACTGGCTCTTGTTTAGGAAATCATCTTATTTTCCTGACACCATATTGCTATATAGACGCTGAAATCCTTTTTTCTCACTATTAACTGTCCGATAGTATATGCAGATGGAAAGTTGGCAGTATCNNNATGCAGATGGAAAGTTGGCAGTATCTCTTGTCAAATGAAGTATGTTTATCATTTGTGCAAAATGTCATTGAAATTCTGTCAAACTTAGATATAGATATTGAATGGTTCTTGATACGTTGTTTGGATATCAATTTGGAATCACATTCCAGTTTTGGTTCACCCGCATGATTTCTTGAACATTCTTCAAGCAAACTGGTGAAGTATCTTGCTGTGTGATTTCTTTATACAATTTGAATGTGGTCGCTTGGAGCATGTATCTCTCTTCTTTACGTGTTTTTTTTTTCCTCCTGCCATTTTATTTTTATTTGTTGATTATGTCCCCCCAAATAAATCACATGGAATGAATTTAGATGTTGTCCACTTGATAGTCGAAGACCATGAGATGCTCTGAGATGTAAGCAAAAGGAAGCTGACTCCCAGAATAAGTAAGAGTAAAGAATTTGATACCGGAAAAACGAGGTTGTGCAAGCACCACAGGCTGAGTAAAAGCAGTTGTCATTTCCCAACAAGTGAAACAAAGAGAGACCATTTCCCCATTAGAAGGCCATCTTCTGTTCCCGTCATTGACTTCGACATCGATCGCATCAAAGTGTTGGAAGTCATCGATCGAGTGGACACAATTTAAAGCACATAGTGAAATGTTCAGTTATCCAATTGTCTTCATCACATGTCCTTGAACCATGATAAAAAATTGCAGTTGGGGTATGTTAAAGATGAAGAGTTGTCTGTGCATACTGTTTTGCTTGTCAATTTGTTAAATGAAAAGTTGGGCTGGAGAGAAATTTGATTGCTTTGAAAGAGGGCCTATTAGGCTTTAGTTTTCATTAGTATGTGTACAGAATGAGTTTTCCTAATAATTATTATTTCCTTTTTTTATGTTTTGGTACGTACGATTATGATTAATGACATGATTCTTGTTCTTTAAAT